CGCGGGCCCTGCGACGCCCCTCCCCAACAAGGACTGCCTTTACGTCGGGCGTGTCCCCCTACAGGGGGATTTTCGACGAAAGATATAAACATGATGGACCCACGAACCCGGAAAGGGATATAGACATGTGGAGCATGGGCACGTTTTCACGATACCCAACGGGGCAACACCTCACGAAACATCCCACGAGACACCTCACGAAACATCCCACGAGACACCTCACGAAACATTCCGCGAGACACCTCACGAAACATTCCAGGAGACACCCCGCGAAACATTCCACGAGACACCCCACGAAACATTCCACGACGACAGGCAACCACTCAACCAAGGCGGTGTGGTCGTGCTGGGGAGTGGTCGTGCTGGGGTGTGGTCGTGCTGGGGGGTGGTCGTGCTGGGGGGTGGTCGTGCTCGTGGGGGGTGGTCGTGCTGGGGCGTGGTCGTGCTGGGGCGTGGTCGTGCTGGGGCGTGGTCGTGCTGGGGCGTGGTCGTGCTGGGGTGTGGTCGTGCTGTGGTGAGGTCGTGCTGGGGTGTGGTCGTGCTGGGGTGTGCTAGGGTGGGGTCGTGCTGGGGTGGGGTCGTGCTGGGGTGGGGTCGTGCTGGGGTGTGGTCGTGCTGGGGTGTGGTCGTGCTGGGGTGTGGTCGTGCTGGGGTGTGGTCGTGCTGGGGAGTGGTCGTGCTGGGGTGTGGTCGTGCTGGGGCGTGGTCGTGCTGGGGGGTGGTCGTGCTCGTGCTGGGGGTGGTCGTGCTGGGGCGTGCTGGGGGTGGTCGTGCTGGTCGTGCTGGGGTGGGGTCGTGCTGGGGTGTGGTCGTGCTGGGGTGTGGTCGTGCTGGGGTGTGGTCTTGCTGGGGTAGGGTCGTGCTGGGGTCGGGTCGTGCTGGGGTGTGGTCGTGCTGGGGTATGGTCGTGCTGGGGTGGGGTCGTGCTGGGGTGGGGTCGTGCTGGGGTCTGGTCGTGCTGGGGTGTGGTCGTGCTGGGGTATGGTCGTGCTAGGGTGGGGTCGTGCATTTCGCTCGAGACATCCTGCCAAAATTCCAGGAAATCGTACAAAAACAAACGAATTAGTCGAGACATCATCGAAATTCCTTCGCGCGGGGCGCTTTTCCGCGTCGCGGTCGGCTCTGCAAAACAAGCGTTTCGCTCGAGACATCCTCGGCAAACTCTGCGGAGCAAGCGTTTCGCTCGAGACATCCTCAACACACGAAAAAGTGGCCCGCACCCTGTGATTTATCGATCGGGATTTCAAAAACAAGCGTTTCGCCTGAGACATCCTCAAATTTTAATCCGCCGGCCTCCTTCGACCTCGATATTTATCAGGGAAAAAATCCGCCGGCCTCCTTCAAGTTGGCACCGGGGGTCAGGTTTACCAACTAAAAGAGAACCCTGGGCCCCCGCCCTTTCCGGGAAAATACACCAAGAATAGTCGAACAATAGTCCAAACATAGTCTGGGGACTATTTTCTGAGTATTGTTTTACCTTTTTGGTGTATTTTTGGTGTATTTTTTGTTTTTCGTCGAAAATCCCCCTGTAAGGGGACAGGCCCGACTTAAGACTACCTACCAGACCACCCCAACCCAACCCGAAGACCCGAATTTGACCGGGATGTCGGGTTTGGGGGGATACGGGTTCCATGTGTTTTCTCAATGGTCCCCCCCCCCCCAAGCACTGGAGATGGGAAGCAAATCGAGGCCTTCGGGTTGGGTTGGGGTGGTTGGGTGGGTGGTGAAATACAGCCCCTGCCAGGTGCACCTCGCGCCGCATCGACTGCAGACTTCCTCAACGATGCAAGGCTACGCTTATGCTGCTCCAGCCGACTTTAGCCTTGATCACCAGAAAGAATGTCGAGCGCCAGAAAAAGTACCGACACTCAAGGGTTTTCACGTGTCGGGACCTGGGAGACACTCGCCCGACACCGTTTCGACACTGTTTCGACACTCTTTTGATACTTTTCCGGGTGCTCGAATTTCTGGGATGTGGTCCTTAAGTCGGGGATGGACAGACCTCCCTTTAGTAAAACGTGGTTTAGTGAAAACGACCTCGGGCCCAAACCTGGCGGGCGCAAGCCTGGAAAATCCGCCGACCCTGTCGGCGTGTGTGAGGGGCTTTTCCGTTCGAGCCGTCATCTCCGTCATTCTTTGTAGTCGTCGTCTCTGTCGTTCCCTTTCCCTGGTACCCCTCTTCCCCTGGGCTCCTCCCCGCTCCCCTCGCCCTTTCCCAGGGCCTCCTCCTCAAGCGCGCTAGCCAAACCGACCTTCAGCAACGTCGTAATTGATTCGAAGGGAAGCCCCTTCCCTTTCCCTTCCCCGACGGGGGGGGGAGGGGGGGTCCCGGGGGGGGTCCCGGGGGAGTCCCGGGTCAGATACGACGGCCCCCCCGTACCGACCTTGAGCAACGTCGTAATTGAGTCGAAGGGAAGCCCCTTCCCTTTCCCTTCCCCGACGGGGGGGGGAGGGGGGGTCCCGGGGGGGGTCCCGGGGGAGTCCCGGGTCAGATACGACGCCCCCCCCCCGTACCGACCTTGAGCAACGTCGTAATTGAGTCGAAGGGAAGCCCCTTCCCTTTCCCTTCCCCGACGGGGGGGGGAGGGGGGGTCCCGGGGGGGGTCCCGGGGGGTCCCGGGTCAGATACGACGCCCCCCCCCCGTACCGACCTTGAGCAACGTCGTAATTGAGTCGAAGGGAAGCCCCTTCCCTTTCCCTTCCCCGACGGGGGGGGGAGGGGGGGTCCCGGGGGGGGTCCCGGGGGAGTCCCGGGGAAGTCCCGGGTCAGATACGACACCTCCCTCCCCCACCTTCTCGTCCTTCTCCCCGTTCCCCAAAACCATCCCACAGCCCGTGCCTCTTGCTGCGCATTGCGAACAGGGTCGGCGGCACCAGCCGTAAGGCCTTCGCAATAACGGCCGCGGCGCCCTCTCGAGAACCGAGAACGGACAATTCACTAATCGACGTGTCACTGTTGGGGGTTCTGTCCACCCCCGATCAAGTAGGACGGGAACAACATAAGGCCACGCGGGTCAGACAAGGCCGCGTAGTGCGAGAGCGGCACCCGCTCGGCACCCCACGTGGGGTCCCGGCTGCCCACCTCGCTCAGAGCGAACCCCGAGCGTGCGAGGCCCGCCCTCGGACATGCTGGCTGCCAGGGGCTGCCTCGTCGGACCTCCCCCTCTCTCCTCTGCCCTTCAGTGGCCAGCGACCTTGTCCCGCCTCGCTCCGCCTCTTCTTATCTCTCTCTCTCCCTCCTCTCTCGTTGAAGGGGCCCTGAGACACACAAATAAATACATGAAATAAAAGGATTCCCCATATTTTCCTATATTTTTGGGGTTTTTGTCTCCCCCCCACTTCCCATATTTTCCCATATTTTCCCGGGAGTCGACGATTAATTGTGTCTGTGTGTTTTTTTCCCTCCTGACTCGTGCCTTCTCCTCCCTCCTTCCTCCTCGAGCACTGCGCGGGAGAGGAGGTCCTGGTTGTAGACCCAGTGGCCCTCGACCCACGACGTGTGGTACCGCACTATTCCTCTGCACGGCGCGGGGGACAGATGAGCAGGATGAGAATTGGGCGCCCGAGTTATCCGGGGTAACTCGGGTCCGGGGTAACTCGGGTTTGGATTCCCGAAAAACGAACCCGAGTTAGCCCTGACCCGAGTTACCCCTGATGATGTGGGGTTCTGGACGCCCGAATTATCCGGGGTAACTCGGGTCCGGGGTAAGTCGGGGGTTCGGATCCCCGAAAAACGAACCCGAGTTAGCCCTGACCCGAGTTACCCCTGATGATTCGGGGCTCTGAGGAGGCCAACGATGCTCGCTGCTGGAAGCAGGAGCAGCCGACGCCTCTTCCCTTCGGCCATCGGGCACCACCCGAAACCACCGGAGCCGTGTGCCGCTCTGTGCTTGGCGTGGTGCCTTGAGGTTCGTGTCAGGGCGAGATTTTGGACGCCCGAATGGGTAGAATGCCCAAGAGCAGTTCCTGTTCATTGTGAACAGGACTCGCTGTCGGTGTCGCCGCAGCCTGTGTCCATTCGAGCCAGAAGGCCGCCTGCCCAACAGCGGCCGCTGTTGGTTTGGGACAACATTTGTTGTTGGGCAGTGTACCCAGTTTTTCCGTACCCATTTCGGGCGTCCAAGATCGGAGCAGTCTGTTCCGTGCTCGTGCTGCTTTGGTTTTCCCTCGCCCTGCCTTCGTTCCGCCCCTGCCGCAAACCAGAGTCAGCACGAGCACGGCCAACGAACCTGCCAACACACACACACACAGCTTCGCTCGCGCCCTGCCGCGTGCCCCGCGCGGCTCCGCAGCCTGGCCGGCCGGCGGCCCCCCACCCCCCCTTACCAGCCTGGAACATATCCCTATCCCTATGCTGGGCACCTCCTCACCACGATGCCAATCTCGGGGATTCCCGTATCTTTTGAGGGCGGATTCCTGAGATCGCCATCGCCTGTTGGCGTGCCAATCTTGGGGACAGGGATACACCCTGCGAAATGCTTATGAAATCATGGGTTAAGAAATTCATAGTCTCAGAACTTGAATAAAAACCCAACATTTCCATTAAAATATTAAGATTTACATTGGAACGTTAAGAATAATCGAGAATCTGGCCGAAAACGTAAGTTTTCTTAAGCATCGCCCAAGGTGTACGTACGAGGCTGGTACCCCCCTGCTGACCCGCAGAGGCCCCGCCGAGCAACGGGCCCCCCTCTAATAGGGCGCCCTCGGAGAGCCCCTACGCGGGGACCCGGCGCCCCTGCGCGGGACACCGGTGGAGTGCTGCTCTCGCCGCAGACAGCACCGGATCAGCACACGGCCGACCTGTGCAACCAGGACGCACGGTTCGGGGATGGACAGATCCCCCTTTACGATGCAAGGCTACGCTTATGCTGCTCCAGCCGACTTTAGCCTTGATCGCCAGAAAGAATGTCGAGCGCCAGAAAAAGTACCGACACTCAAGGGTTTTCACGTGTCGGGCCCTGGGAGACACTCGCCCGACACCGTTTCGACACTGTTTCGACACTCTTTTGACACTTTTCCGGGTGCTCGGATTTCTGGGATGTGGTCCTTAAGTCGGGGATGGACAGACCTCCCTTAGTAAAACGTGGCTTAGTGAAAACGACCTGAGGCCCCAAACCTGGCGGGCGCAGGCCTGGAAAATAACGGCCGCGGCGCCCTCTCGAGAACCGAAAAGGGACAATGCACTCATCGACGTGTCACTGTTGGGGGTTCTGTCCACCCCCGAACGATAGAGATGCAAGGGCCTCGAAAGGCCATGCCGACACCTTGCGAGCGGGGCGTGGCCAGCGAAAGCGGACATGGATGGGCCGACGGGCAAGGATGCTAGCGCAACCTCGGAAACTTGCTCCTCCTTACTGTGCGGGTTGACCGTGCGTGGCCATCGCTTCCATCCTCTCTCGATCTCTGGGGTCATCCACCGGCCAGCAAAAGACTCGCTGAGAGACGTCGCAAGACCGACTGATGCCCCAGATCTCCGGGGACGACCTCCAGGGACCTCCGGCCCTCCTCTCTCTTTCCCATGCCTTCCCTTGGGGGGGAGGGAGGAGATGTAGGAGTGGAAAGATGCCCAGCTGGAAGAGAAGGAGGAGGAACTGGAAGAGGGGGGAGGAAGTGCATGATGATACGGGGGAAGAGATGGATGAGTAGGAGGAGGCGGAGGAGAAAATGGAGGAGGAGGAGGAGGAGGAGGAGGAGGAGGAGGAGAAGGAAGAAGAGAAATTCGGCAATACTGCCTGGGGACGTGTCAGAGAGCGTGGCCCGACGAACTAAACACCTCCTTGAGGGCTGCTGAAAGGGGAGAGCTCTTGAATCCCTTCCTGCGGGGCTCTCGTTTTCCACCCCTTCCCCCAACCCACTCCCATCATCTCCCAACCCACTCTCTCTCTCCTCCTCAAAGCCATCCCCCCTTCTCCTCCCTCCTTCCCCTTCCCCTCCCCCTCCGCCGCACTCCTCCGCACTCCTCCTCCTCCTCCTCCTCTTCTCCTCCTCCTCCTCCTCCTCCTCCTCCTCCTCCTCCTCCTCCTCCTCCCCCTCCGCCGCCGCCGCTTCCTCCTCCTCCTCCTCCTCCTCCTCCTCGACACGGTGAGGGGGAGGGGCGGAGAGAGGGGAGGCGGGAGCTCAGCCTCGTGGGCCCAGCTCGGTCCATGAGGCATGCTGAAACTGGCAGCGTCGCGGCTCTCTGCTCCGCAGGCGGCGCCCAGCAGGACAGCAGGGGGGGGTAATTGTAAGGAAGGAAGGGAGGACTGCGACCCCAAAGTGCACCCATCGTGAGTGCACCCAGCATGTTTCAACAGTGCCGCAATATTAGACGAGCGCGTTCCACTACTCGCAACGTGACTGCTCGCAACTGGCCCGGATCTGCCGCGGGGGATCTGCGATACATCGCATCGACGCAGACATGTGTGGTTTCGGACGCCTGCGAGTAGGCACTTTGCGAGTAGTGGAAGGCGCTCGGCGAAATGTGCCCCTCCGTCCCAAGCCTCCCCTTCCACTGGCCCGTACAAACACCAAGCCTCACCGCGCGGAAGGCTCGGGCGGGAGCCCCGCTCTGGAACGACATGGCCTCCCGTCCTTCAAAGCTGCGAGCTGTGAGGAGTGCGGCAAGGAGCGGCCGTGACATGCCGCCTGGCGGCTCAGAGAGCCGGAGGGCTTCTGAGAAGCTCCGACGCCTTCTGAGCAGGCCTTCTCCTTCCCACCTTCCCCCCTCGTTCGCTGGAGGAGGAGGGAGAGGAGAAGGAGGAGGAGAACGAGGAGGAGGAGGAGAAGGAGGGGGAGGAGGAGGAGGAGGAGGAGGACAAGCTAGGTGCGCTCGCGTCATATCTGACGTCCTACCCCTCCCTCCCATCCCTTACCATGGCGCTGATTTTCTCTATCCGCGGACGCGTGTCGTAGCGGACCTGTGGCTCCGCGCGCGCGTGCGTAGTGGGTGGTGGTGCGCGTGCGTGCGTGCGTGCGTGTGTGCGTGGTTGTGGTGGTGGTGGTGGTGGTGGTGGTGGTGGTGGTGGTGGTGGTGCTGTGGTGGTGGTGGTGGTGGTGGTGGTGGTGGTGGTGGTGGTGGTGGTGGTGGTGGTGCGGCGCGGTGGTGGCGGGCGGATGGGCGCGCGAGAAAGAGGCCCGCGCTGGGGCGAGAACGCCATCCTGAACGACGGAGGCCAAACACCGATCCGAAAATGAGGCCCACGCTGCAGCGGGAGCACGATTCGGAACGATTCGGGAGCAGAAATGAGGCCGGCGCCTCAGCGAGAGCAGCATTTTTGAAAAAAACACAAGCGAAAACCCAACTCCGGGGAATCCTGTGTGTAAAAAAACAGTACGCGGGGGGGTGCCGAATATCTTCCGGACGCCATCAGGGGAAGTGGGAGAGTATTTTCATATTGTGTAATTGTGGAGGAGGAGGAGGAGGAGGCGGCGGAGGAGGAGGCCTTTCTCACTCGCCCCCCTTCGTCCGACCCCAACCCCCGCGGGGCCTGGGTGCGCCAGGCTGGCCTGGACCTCCACCTGGGCAGCGGGAGCAGCCCGCACCGAGTCGCGAGACCGGATCCGATCGGAACGAGCACGACGACGACGACGCCGACGAAGACGACGAAGACGACGACGACGACCACGACGACGACGACGACCACGATGGCGTGGACGCCGTCGCGGACGTCGACGACGACGACGACGAGGCCGACGACGACGACGACGAATACGACCACGGCCACGGAGACGACGACCCCGACGACGACGACGACGACCACGATCACGACGACGACGACCCCGCCCACGCCGACCCCGACGACCACGCCCAAGCCCACGCCGACGCCGACGACGACCACCCCGACAACGACCACGACGACGACGACGACGACGACGACGAGGACGGGCCGCCGCGGCGCGGAGTCGGGTCGGTCGCGCCAGGATGCCCAACAACGCCATGCAGAGATCGGGCCGCATCGTCGTCGCCGGGGTCGTCGTCGTCGGCGAAGTTGTCGTCGTCGTGGTCGTCGTCGTCGGCGTTGTCGTCGTCGTCGACGTCGTGGTCGTGGTCGTCGTCGTCGTCGTCGTCGTCGCCGTCGTCGCCGTCGTCGTGGTCGTGGTCGTCGTGGTCGTGGTCGTGGTCGTCGTGGTCGCGGTCGTGGTAGTCGTGGTCGCGGTCGTGGTCGTGGTCGTGGTCGTGGTCGTGGTCGTCGCGGTCGCGGTCGTGGTCGTGGTCGTGGTCGTGGTCGTGGTCGTGGTGGTGGTCGTGGTCGTGGTGGTGGTCGTCGTGGTCGTGGTCGTGGTCGTCGGGGCCAGAATCGAATCCAGCGGCCCAGACTCGGCACCGAGTCGGAGCAACAATCGGCCCTGCGGGGCCGCGCGGGCGCGCGGCGTCGACCCGCGGGGCGCTCCCCCGCGCGCGCGGCTCCCCGACCTCCTGCCGGCTTTGCCGTTTTCTGTTTGAGTGACGCCCCGTACTTCTCACTCGGTGCAGTCTGCGACTACACCCTGCGAAATGCTTAAGAAATCATGGGTTAAGAAATTCATAGTCTCAGAAATTGAATGAAACCCAGAACTTCTATGAACATCTGGGGGTTTACATTGAAAAGTTAAGAATAATCGAGACTCTGGACGAAAACTTAGGTTTTCTTAAGCATCGCCTAAGGTGTACTGGCGAAAAGCGCACAAGACGAGGAAACACGTGCGGACAAACCTGACATAGCAGATTCCCGCCTCCGCCGTGTCGATACCTCTCAATGTGATCGCGGCTGCAACGCAGACTCGCGCGTGTGTGGCCCACACTGGATCAGATTGGTGGGACTCGCACTGGTGCCCAACGCAAGCGGGGAGGAGGGCGAACGACGAGAGAGAAAGAAGAGGGACAAGAAGGGCGAGTCTGGAGCACAGGCCCGCCACACAGCGCGCGGTGCGGAAATCAAACACGGGGTCAAAGTAGATGTGCAAGGGAAGAGGCGGCAGGAACGACGGAGGGCAGAAGCGGCGGCCTCAGCGGAGAGGAGAAGGCGGAGGAACGCCGGAGCACGGAAGAAAGGAAGCGTCTGGAATACAAGACCTCGCATGTACCCATCGAAGGCTCCTTGGCTACGAGGCGCGACACGGAATCGCGTGCCACGCCGATCGGCGCTGCAGTGGAGCAGTGCGGGCTGGCCAATTTCCGTCCGCCCGCCCCGTACGAGAGTCAGGGAGGAGAAAACAACAAGCAACCGTTGGTGAGATTGGAGGCCTCCTGCTGGCTTTTCCGGCGCCACACTACACCACGTCGGTCGGAAGAAGTGGGTAAAAACCTGCAGTAGGAGGGCGGATAAAGTGGACTGGGCCCAGGCCCTCCCCGAGAATAACAACACACAGCAGAAGCAGATCCTTGAAGCAGGAAGGCGCTTGAATCAGGGGGACGTAAGACCTGGGTACAGGGGACTCGGAAATCCCAGACGAGGTCGTCAACAAAAATGACGAGGCCGAGCCTGCACTTTGACGAGGCCTCCCGCTGCAGACGTCCCACGAAACTCCTCCTCGTCAGAATCCGAGGCGCGGCCGTCAGAAAACGATGGCGAACCCGAGTCCTGGAGCAGGAGTAGGAAAAGAAAGGAGGAGGAGCAGGAGGAGGAGGAGGAGGAGGAGGAGAAATATGATGATGATGAGGAGGAGGAGGAAGAGGAGGAGGAGGAGGAAGAGGAGGAGGGAAAGGAGGAGGAGGAGGAGCAGCAGGAGGAGGAGGAGGAGGAGGAGGAGGAGGAGGAGGAGGAGGGGGCCAGGTCTTACGCTCCCCCGATTGAAGTAGCAGTTGGGATCCGGGAGCCCAAACTAAATGCCTCCTCTCGACGGCCGGCGTGCGTGCGCCCACCCCGCTGTAGGCGGGAAGGGCCGCGCAAGCGAAGCGGGGGGTGGCGCGGAAGCCTCCCCCGCTTCGCTCGCGGGGTGTGCACAAAGGGACTGCGCTTAGGTCGGGCGTGTCCCCCTACGGGGGGATGTTCGACGAAAAATGAAAAAATACCCCGAAAATGCCTCAAGAAGATCAACACAAATACTCAAAAACCAGCCCCCAGACTATTTTTTGGGACTTTCTGCTGGGGCCATTTTGGGGGTATCTTTTTCATGTTTCGTCGAACACCTCCCTGTATGGGGGACACGCCCGACATAGGACTGCGCCTGGAAGACCGCGAGGGGCCCGGCGATCCGGCGGTGGAGCTCCCGAGCTGCACGCCCACGGCGGAGGGAGGCCCGGGTGCGGCGCGTCCTGGCGCGCGTGCCGCCGGGTCCCTGCGGCACCGCGTCGCGGAGGGGCGCCCTCTACCGCACCCCGCGGCCTGATCCGTGGAAGACTATTTTTTAGTATGCTTTGACCTTTTTGTTTTTTATATTTCGTCGAAAATCCCCCTGTAGGGGGACACGCCCGACATAACTAACCGTTGAGGCTCCCACGCCGTCGGGCGGGAGCGGGGGACCGCCGTTGCAGGGCATTCTCACGGGACGCAGGAGGGATGGCTAGCGGCTCCTGCGCTGGCAGTGAGCGTCGAGTCTCGCCTGGATGACCTCGTGGAGGGGGGCTCCAGCAAGGCGCGAGCTAAACCGTGCGTGTTCGTTTTCGTTTTCGTTAATTATGTTTCCGCGCTCCTTCGCTCCGTCTTCGTTCTGCCCCTGCTGCGAAACGGCATCAGAACCATAACGGTTCACGAGACAGTCAAAGCACCGCTTAGCTCGAGCCCGGGCCTCCAGTCGGGCGTTGCCAGAACTGGGTTTAATGGAACCTGGTTTAGTGATTTGTACAGGGGGCGCCCCGCCCTATTTCCACTGACCGGAACTGCCGTCGCCCCAAAAACTCCAATTACGGCAAGCCTGGTTGAATGAACCTGGCCAACTGAGGGGCCCCAGGGCCTTACCACTGACCGGGTCCCTTACCCGGGGTCCTGGCTATACCCGATCCAAGGGGGGAGAGGCAAGTGGAGACGCCGAATGGGTGGCGCCCCAGGCGATCTGGGCCACGGGGAACCGCGCCGAAGAGAGGCCCCGCGACTTGAGCAGGGACCGACCGTCCCGGCATTCCTATAGTCCTACCACGAAATGTTCCTAGAACCCAAAAGCGCTCTCAAACATAAAGCACCGTTCTTAGAACAGAACCCCGATGTGGTATCACAAGACAGACTCCGCCAGAAATGCTCTAAGAGCATTTCGTGGGAACCCCAAAAGGTTCCTAGAACATTGTTTGGTAGGGGCTATAAGTTGGACGCCCGAAATGGGCACGGAAAGAATGGGCACAATGCCCAACAAGAAATGTTGTCCCAAACCAACAGCGGCCGCTGTTGGGCAGGCGGCCTTTTGTCTCAAATGCACACAGGCTGCGGCGGCGCCGACAGCGAGTCCTGTTCAAAATGAACAGGAACTGCTGTCGGGCATTGTACTCTGTGTCCCTCAATAGTTCTGGGGGTACCTGTAGTCCGGGGGGGTACCTATAGTCCGGGGGGGGGGGGTACTTGTAGTCTGGGGGGGGGGGGTACCTGTAGTCGGGGGGGGTGTTGTATAGTCCGGGGGGGGGGGGGGGGGTACCTGTAGTCCGGGGGTAGTCCGGGGGGGGCGCGCATGGGGGCGCGTTTTGGCTCCCAGACCCAATCGCCGAAACCATGATATATTTTAATTATATGTGAATGTACAATTAACCTATATGTAAGTTAGTGATGGTGTTACAAAGCTGTCATTAAACATATCACATATTAATGATGCGCTTATTGGTCGCATACAAATAATACGCTTATTGTGAGTACGTATGCATTGAGCATGCCACTTCAAGTGAGGTTTGGAACAAAGCCACTCATTAGAGCCAGCGGAAATATCGCGCGACCCACATATCCAGTAAAGCCTCGTCGCCAAAATTCAAACTAGAAACGTTGTCGCTGAAGGCATGGCCTCCACCGCACCACATCTAAGAGACAACTGGATCTAAGCGCGACTGTGATTTCCAGAAAGCATTTCTCGCCCACGCCCCTCATGCCATAGAATCATAGCGAAGCTAAGCGATCGCTATGCCCAACATTGTTCGGCAAGAGGAAAGGAGGGGGCTGGAGCTTAAACCAACCTCAGAAGCATCTAAGTCACGCGCAGTGGGCCCGACCAACTCTTTAGCGGCGCACTAGTGCATTGCTAAAATGGCTTGAACCAGAGTGACTAGACGAGGAGGAACCCTGGAACCAAAATGGTTTGAGCCAGAATGGCTAGGAGGAGGAGGAGGAGGAGGAGGAGGAGGAGGAGAGGGAGGAGGAGGAGGGAGGAGGAGCAGCAGCAGCAGAAAGAAGAGGAGGAGGAGAAGAGCAAAAGGGGGAAGAGAAGGAGGAGGAGGAGGAGGAGGAGGAGGAGGAGGAGGAGGGGGAGGAGGAGGAGGAGGAGGAGGAGGAGCAGCAGCAGCAGCAGGACGACGACGACGAGCAGGAGGAGGTGGGCGAGCAGCCATCAGTCACACTTTCGGGCACCTTGGGCGAGGAGGAGGAGGAGGAGGAGGAGGAGGAGGAGCAGCAGCAGCAGGAGGAGGA